TCTCTGAAATTTTCTTCATAAGTTATTTCTATTTTATTGACATGGAGGTAAAGACTCAAAATATTTCAATTATGAGTAATGAAAAGACATGAGCCTGTTACCCTTAAGAAATGTAGAGGGCAGCTGGGCTCAGTGGCTGTAATCTCAGCACTTTTAGAGACCAAGGCAGGAGGATTACTTGAGCCTGGGACTGCAAGACCAGCCTGAGCCACGTAGTGAGACCCAGACTCAAAAAAATAAAAATAAAAAATTTAGACTGGGCATGGTACCTCATCCCTATAATTCCAGCACTTTGGGAGGCCAAGGTGAGTGGACTGCTTGAGGTCAGGAGACTGAGACCAGGCTCGCCAACATGGTGAAACTAATCTCTACTAAAAATACAAAAATTAGCTGGGTTTGGTGGTGGGTGCCTGTAATCTCAGCTACTAAGAAGGCTGAGGCAGGAGAATTGCTTGAATCCAGGAGGCAAAGGTTGCAGTGAGCTGAGACTGCACCACTGCACTCCAGCCTGGGCAACTGAGATTCCATCTCAAAAAAATTAAAAAAAAAAAAAAAAAAAAAAAAAAAAAGAAAAAAAACAGGCCAGGCATGATAGCTCACACCTGTAATCCCAGCACTTTGGGAGGTCAAGGCAGGTGGCTGACCTGAGGTCCGGCGTTTGAGACCAACCTGGCCAATATGATGAAATCCCATCTCTACTAAAAAAATACAAAAAATTTGCTGGGTGTGACGGCGGGCACCTGTAATCTCTGCTACTTGGGAGGTTGAGGCAAGAGAATCACTTGAACCCGGGAGGCAGGGGCTGCAGTGAATCAAGACCACGCCAGTACACTCCAGCCTAGGAAACAAGAGTGAAACTCCGTCTCATGGTGGCACGCGCCTGTAGTCCCAGCTACTCAGGAAGCTAAGGTGGGAAGATTGCTTGACAGAAGGTCAAGGCCAGCCTTGGCAACAATGCAAGACCCTGTCCGTACCAAAAAAAAAAAAAAAAAAAAAGAAAAATAAAATGAAGAAAAGAAAAAAATGCAGAAGGTACAGGGCCTTTGCTATGTCACTTTCAGCAGACCCAAAATGCCAGGCGGCCGACCAAGTGACTGATCTAGTCATTGCAAATGCTCACTTTCCAAGAAGAAATTTCCTTCCCAAGAATACAGAAACTGTCCATTCACCACATGAACACTGACAGCCTCAAGCAAGATATTGCTTTTTCCTACTAACATCACCTTAGCAATCCTCTAACTTTGTGACATTAGTTAATAAACCAGTACTAAAATAATTCTGTAGCACTTCAGTTACTATAATTACTTTCTATGTTTGAGACTTATTAGGAAACATAATCCAGAAGCTGTATCATTTTTTGCTTAAATATATAAATCCCTTTTGGAAAAATATCACAGAAAGCTTATATACTATGTAGTATGAAAAGCTACCTAAAAATCAAAAGCAATTCTGCCTGCATTCATATGTCACAGAAACACCGTATGAATGAGAAGATCTACAACCATTCCAAGATCTCTGGAGAAAATGTATCACATATAAACAGAAAAAACAACTAAGGTATATGTCCTAAGTTACTATAACTAAAGTTGTAAGATAGTACCAACACTACTCCAGCTCCTTCTCCTACTATGCAGAGCAGGAAAACTGTTATTAGATGGGCAAGGCATGTGATCAGCACTGGCTCCTAAAGCACATTAGCATTAGCTTTGTCTACTTACAGAAGGTCCACTTGCTTATTAAGTCACTTTTAAACTGTGCAAAAGTTCTAGAATAAAAAATCTAAACAAACAGTTAATCTACTGCCAGTGGTCTTCAGGGTACATTAAAATTATTTGGAGGACTTGTTAAGAGCGAAGATTACTGGGCCCCACCCCAGAGTTTCTGATTCAGTAGGTTTAGAATGGGGCTTAAGAATGTGAATTTCTAACAAGTTCCCAGGTGGTAAAGAGATGATGATGGTCCAGGATCCACTCTGAGAACCACTGCTCTATAGTTTACTTGTTGACAGAAGCTGTTCATTGCAGTCTTCAGCTTACAAGGTTTCTGCTGATCATTTAAAAATAAAATTTATCAGCTTTATGTCAGTTTTTCAACTTTTTACAGGAAGTAATTTCCAAGTTACAAAAAAATTGCAGTAATAACACAGTAGAGGAAAAAGATTCATATATGCTTTACCCAGATGCACCTTATTTTTGTGTGTGTGACAGATTCTCACTCCATCACCCAGGCTGGAGTGCAATGGCACGGTCTTGGCTCACTGCAACCTCCGCCTCCCGAGTTCAAGTGATTCTCCTGCCTCAGTCTCCTGAATAGCTGGGATTATAGATGCCTGCCACCACATCCAGCTAATTTTTGTATTTTTAGTAGACAGAGGGTTTCTCCACGTTTGCCAGGCTGGTCTCAAACTCCTGACCTCAGATGATCTGCTTGCCTCGGCCTCCCAGAGTGCTAGAATTATAGGCATGAGCCACCGTGCCCAGCCCCAGATTCAATTATTAATATAACATTGTGATCCATCTACTTATTACTCTCTTCCTCCCTTCTCCCTTTCTCTTATGGTTTAGGGGGGAAAAAAAAGCAAATTTATTTTTCTAAACCATAAGAGAAAGCTGCATATACCGTAGTCCTTTACTTCTAAAAACTTCAGGATGTATTTTCTAAGAAAAAAGATGTTCTCAGCCAGGCATGGTGCATCACGCCTGTAATCCCAGCACTTTGGAAGGTCAAAGTGGGCAGATCACCTGAGGTCAGAAGTTCAAGACCAGCCTGGTCAACATGGCATAACCCCGTCTTTACTAAAAAATACAAAAATTAGGCTGGGGCGTTGGCTCATACCTGTAATCCCAACACTTTGGGAGGCAAAGGTGGGTAGATCACAAGGTCAGAAGTTCAAGACCAACCTGGTCACTATGGTGACACTGTCTCTACTAAAAATACAAAAATTGGCTGGGCTGCGTGGCACTGTGCCTGTTCCCAGCTACTCAGGAGGCTGCGGCAAAAATCACTTGAACCCAGGAGGCGGAGGTTGCAGTAAGCTGAGATCATGCCACTGCACTCCACCCTGGGTGACAGAGAGAGACTCTATCTCAAATAAAAGAAAAAATACAAAAATTAGCTGGAAGTTAGGGCAGGAGCCTATAATCCCAGCTACTCATGAGGATAAGGCAGGGAGAATTGCTTGAACCCAGGAAGTGGAGGCCACAGTGAGCTGAGATCATGCCACTGCACTTCAGCCTGGACAACAGACCAAGGCTCCATTAAGGGAAAAAAAAAAAAAAGGGCCGGGCACAGTGGCTCATGCCTGTAATCCCAGCACTTTGGGAGGCCCAGGCAGGCAGATCATGAGTTCAAGAGATCAAGACTATTCTGGCCAACATGGTGAAACCCCATCTCTACTAAAAATACAAAGATTAGCTGAGCTAGGTGGCACACACCTGTAGTCCCAGCTACTCAGGAGGCTGAGGCAAAAGAACTGCTTAAACCCAGGATGCGGAGGTTGCAGTGAGCTAAGATCATACCACTGCACTCTAGTCTGGTAACAGAGCAAGACTCTGTCTTGAAGAAAAAAAAAAAAGATGTTCTCTAACATAACCACAATAGTTACTAACTCAGTGAATTTAATATTGATAATCATTACCACCACAATCAAGATTACAGAACTCCATTATACCTAAAAATTCCCTCATGCTTCCGCTTTACAGTTAACTCCTACCCCAATACTCTGGCCATTGCTCTTTCCAATCCCTAAAATTTTGCCTTTTCCAGAATGTCACATAAGTGACATCACACATACATGTATAGTATGTAGCCTTTTTTAAAAATTGTAAGCAAATACACATCACATAAAATGCATCATTTTAAAGTACAAAATTCAGAAGCATTAAGTACATTCACAATGTTGTGCAACCAACACTACTACCTAGTTCCAGAACATTTTTATCATCCCAAAAGAAGTTCCATATCCATTAGGGACTGAAGCCCCATAACCATTAGAGACTCATTCCCCATTCCTCTAGTCTCTGACAACCACCAATCTGCTTTCTATCTCTATGGATGTGCCTACTCTAGATATTTCATATAAATTGAATTGTTCAATATTTGGTCTTTTGGTTCTGGCTTCTTTCATAACGTTTTCGAGGTTCATCTAAGTTGTAGCATACATCAGCATTTCATTCCTCCCTATGGCAGTGTATATATATATCCTTATGAGTCTAGTTTCTTTCATTCAGCATATTGCCATTGAGATTCATCCATGTTGTTAGGTACATGAGTAGTTTCTTCTTTATTGCTAAGGAGTATTCCATTTTATGTATATACTAGCATTTGTCTAGTCACCAAAACACATTTTACTCCCGGTACTTTTTCCAGAAATAATCATATAACTCAAGGTAATTTACAATTCATGGGATTTTAATATATCTGTAAATGGCAAGTGAAAAAACTTCAAATATATAGAACATATGTAGGTCCAAAATCTCTTATCTACAATTCCAAAATCCCATAAATGTCAAGTTTTTGGTAAACTTCAACAAAGTCATTTTAAGGCAAATCCTGGCCTACACTATGAGTTGCTTTAGTCTTTATTTACTCCTCTTGGTGAGAATATTAATAATTTTGCAGCATATTATGTCTGAGTACACATTCCCCCTGGGAGATATAATTCCTATATATGTAAATTACATTTCTATAACTTGAAAAATACATAAACTCATTTAACCTCACAGGTTCTAGATAAAAGTTGTGACTCTGGCCAGGCATGGTGGCTCACACCAGTAATCCCAGCACTCTGGGAGGCCGAGGTGGGTGGATCACGAAGTCAGGAGTTCAAGACCAGCCTGGCCAACATGTGAAACCCTGTCTCTACTAAAAATATAAAAATTAGCCGCCTGTAATCCCAGCTACTTGGGAGGCCTAGGCAGGAGAACTGCTTGAGCTGGGTGGTGGGGGCCAGGGGTTGCAGTGAGCCGAGATAGCGCCACTGCACTCCAGCCTAGGCAACAGAGCAAGACTCCATCTCAAACAAACAAAGAAACTGATTACAGGTGGGCAACATCATGCCTGGCTACCATATATGATCTTTTAACAGTAAACATTACAGTTCTCAGAATATCTGATTGTTCCAAGGCATATTCTTCAGGTAAGACCTAAGCTGCACTGCTGTGAAGACAAAAATTACACTAATACATTACTAGAGTCAATGAACAGGCATTAATCTCTCTTGTATTATAGATCAATTCTCCATTACATGAACTAAAAGGATGGACAGGGCCGGGCGCAGTGGCTCATGCCTCTAATCCCAGCACTTCGGGAGGCCAAGGTGGGTGGATCATGAGGTCAGGAGCTTAAGACCAGTCTGGCCAAGATGTTGAAACCCTGTCTCTACTAAAAATACAAAAACTGGCTGGGTGAGGTGGCTCAAAACTGTAATCCCAGCACGTTGGAAGGCCGAGGCAGGCGGATCACGAGGTCAAGAGATCAAGACCATTCTGGCTAACATGATGAAACCCCATCTCTACTAAAATACAAAAATTAGCTGGGCATGGTGGGGTGCACCTGTAGTCCCAGCTACTTGGGAGGCTGAGGCAGGAGAATTGCTTGAACCTGGGAGGCGGTGGTTACAGTAAGCCGAGATTGTGCCACTGTACTCCACCCTGGCGCCTGGCAACAGAGCAAGACTCTGTCTCAAAAAAAAAAAAAAAAAATACAAAAATACAAAAATTAGCTGGGTGTGGTGGGGGGGGCCTGTAATCCCAGCTATTCAGGAGACTGAGGCAGAACTGCTTGAACCTGGGAGGCAGAGGTGGCAGTGAGCTGAGATCACACCACTGCACTCCACCTGAGTGGCAAAGCAAGACTCTGTCTCCAAAAAAAAAAAAAAAA